GAAGACGTAACATGAATCGATGCAATATTTATGTTGATACGATGAAAATTAGAAAGAAAAAAAAAGTTCTAATGTTCCAACATGTCATATTTCTCGGCAAACGTGACACGGGAGGAGAAGAAGCAAGGGTTTTCGATTCTCATGTTGATCCACTCGGGGTTACTCTGAGCTAGCCTGCAAAAACTGAGTTGGGGTCCCAAGAACTTGACAGCCACAACACAGTCCTCATCCTCTGAAGAAGATGAGGACATGGACACATTGGTGACGATTTGGGTTTGGCAACCAGGGAGAGTTACAAGAGGAGGCAGCGGAATGCGTTTCGGATCTGTAGCCGATGCAACCGGATTTAGATCATCTTGAAGACGCAGAGACATGAATAATAGCAAGAGATTTGAAGAAAAAATACTTGAGCAATTTGATATCTTCTACACCTAAAATCCTACATTAATACAGAGGAAGATACTTGCTCACCAAGTTTCCTATCTCCAAATTTATAACCGTCTTTATGGATTTTTTCCTACTACCGTTGAATAAACTTGAATTATAGTTTTCGTCCGGACCAGCAAGTTGTTAATCGCAAAAACTAAAAAAGAATACAACCAATGCGCCAAGTTCGTGCCAAAGTAGGGTTATAATCCAACATTTTATTAATTCGATCCCAAAGAATACATGAACTGATCTCAAGAAATTCTCAAGCACAAGCAACCGTTCCGTTTAATACATAGCTTCAGAAATATCTCTAAGCAACGACCAGACAGCTTCTTATGTACATGTAATGAAGAGACCAATCTATGCCTAAAGTTGCACACATACATAAAACTCAATTCTTATTGGCAAAGCCCTCTGTTTCTCGCCCACTCTGTTCCAAGTAACAATGTAATGTATGATAGTGCATCGACAAAATGCGATGCATCACCGTGTACTAACTACCCACTCTGCTTAGCACTCGAGGTAGAAGTTGTCATGAAGGATTCACCACACCCGCATTGCCCTTGTGAGTTAGGATTGATGAACACAAACTCTGATCTGCAATTAAATAAAAGGTTAATCGGGGCACATAAACAGAGTTTGGGTTCGTTATGTGACAGAGGTCCAAACCTGAGTTTATCATCGATAAAATCCATCTTGGTTCCAATCACATGCATCAAGGCCTTTGGTTCAACAAGTATTCTCACACCTTTCTCCTCCACCAGCTCATCAAATTTCCCTTTCTCATCTGAAGCAATCGCAGAAAAAAAAATTATAAACAATGGCTCAAGACGAGCAATCAACAGCATGTAACATAGCAAGAAACTCAGAAATTTTTTAGAGATAATAATGAGAAACTGTGCATTAGCTGATGGGCCGATAGAGATTTCAGAACATCGTAACACTTTGAACAATACATCGATACTCATGTACACTGCTTTGTTGGCTAGTCCAGTACTTTCGTCCATTCAGTCTTACAATGATTAACAGAACTGAACGTAAATCTAATTATCTGGCTTGAGAACACGAAAATTCTGGAACAACAAAATGATACAGATCTACCAACCTACATTACAGATCTGAAACATCTAACTATCAAGTTTGAGAACACAAAAGGTAATGGATCTACCAAACTTGGGGCGAACATCTAGACACTTAAAGCAAAGAAACATTCGACCGGATTTTATACTCTAAATAGATATCACTTGGAACATAGCAACACGTATGGCTTTTTCATCGATGAGCCGAAAAACAGAGGATAAAGGTGAGGCGAACATCTAGAGGCTTTAAGGGAAACTATGCATTCAGCTAATGCCCCTGAATTTGTCTCATAAGACGAGAAACACCCGCAGAATCTTCGACTCTATAACTAGATAGCAATCAATACATAGCAATTTCATATGACATCTTCATCAATGATCCAAAAAACAAGATTTATCGCTAATTCACTATTGAACAACACACAAGCATTCCCAAATCTAAACCTTTTACCAAGTCTTGTATTTTATATTATCTTCGTGCTATTGCAATCAAAGAGATATATAGGAACTATAATTAAGGGGCAAGTTACGTTCATCAGCACAACAGTAGAGAAATCAAAGCCCTAAAATCAAAGGTTGAAACTTGGTAAAACCTGATTCAATCCAAAATCAGAGAAACAACAATTCTCGCCGGTAAATTGAAAATTGATCTTAAAAAATGAAAATCGAGAGGCTAACCGGCGTAATTAAGGGTGTAAGAGAGACCGTTGCAGCCACGAGCTTTTACGCCTAATCGGAGGAAAGGTTTCTGCCTCTGCTGCAAGAGATGATGAACCCTAGAAGCAGCTTCCTCCGTCAACGTTAACACTTGCTTCCTCACCGCCGGTCCAACCCTCGCCGCCGCAGCCGCCAAAACTCGAGAAGCCTTCATCGATCGGAGAATTATAGATGTACGGACATGATTTGTCGAAGCCAGAAGAAAAGGTCTTACGCGAGTTAGAAAATGACGAGTCTCGTTTTGGGGGTTTTTTGGCTTATTTACTTTGTTAGTTTGGCATTCGGTTTAACCTTCCCTTCGATTTGGGTAATTTTGGTTTCAAGTAGTTCGGTTATGTAATTTTGCTATGTCAATTTTCATAAAATTTGGTCAAATCTATTAAATTAAAGTAAATTAATTAATAATAATAATCCTTAAAAAATTCATTCTGTTTTTAGGAATTTG